TTATCAAAGGCCATTTCTGCATCTGTGTAGATAATCATTTGATTCTTGACGTTGGCTCTGTTGATGTGTTGGATTACATTTATTGACTTACATATGTTAACCATCCCTGCATCTCTGGGATGAAGCCTACCTGGTTGTAGTGTATGATTTTTTAATGTTTTTCTGGATTCTATTAGCTAGAATTTTGTTAAGGATCTTTCCATCTGTTCATCAAGGAAATTGGCCTGTAATTCTCTTTTTTAGTTGGGTCTTTGTCTGATTTGGGGATAAGTGTGATATTAGTATCATAGAATGAGTTTGGGATAGCTCTCTCCTTCTCTATTTCTCTGAAGAGCTTGAGGAGTATGGGTATTATTTCTTCTTTAAGGATCTTAAGGGTCTTCTTTAAGGGTCTTTAAGAATTCTCTTGTGAATCCATCTGGTCCTGGGCTTTTCTCTGTTGGAAGACTTCTGATTGCTTCCTGTATCTTGTTGTAGGATATTGGCTTATTTAATTGATTTACTTCTTTGCTCAGTTTGGGCAACTTGTGCTACTCTAAAAATGCAGCCATTTCTGCCACGTTTTCTTTCTTTAGAGAGTATAACTTTTGAAAGTTGTCAGTTAAAATTGTTTGGATATCTTGGGTATGTGTTGTGATTTTTCCCATGGCATCCCTAATCCTGTTAATATGGGTTTCCTCTCTTCTTTTTTTAAATTAATCTTGCCAGTGGTCCATCAATGTTGTTTATTTTTTCAAAGAAACAGCTTTTTGTTTGGTTAATTTTGGCTATGATTCACCGATTCTCTATTTCATTAATCTCCACTCTTAGTTTGGTTATCTGGCTCCATCTAGTAACTTTAGGTTCCATTTTTTTTCTTTTTTTTTCTAGCTGTTTTAATTGCAACATGAGATTATTTACTTGGTCTGTCTCCATTTTCTTGATGTGGGCACTGAGGGCAATAAATTTGCCCCTCAGGACTGTTTTTGCTGTGTCCACAAGTTTCTTTGTGATGGGTTTTTCATTGTCATTGAGTTGTAGGAATATTTAAATTTCATCTTTGATCTCTTCCATTACCCAGGCATTGCTTAGAAGTGTACTGTTCAATTTTCATGTATTTGAGTAATTTCTGCGGTATGCTTTTTTATTGAGAACTAGTTTGATTCCACTGTGGTCAGATAGGATACAGGGGATTATATTGATCACCTTGTATTTGCTTAAGTTCCTTGCATGAACTTTGATATGGTCTATATTGGAGAAAGTTCCATGAGTTGCTGAGAAGAATGTGTACTCTGTTGATTCAGGGTGAAATACTCGGTAGATGTCAGTTAGTTCCACATGAAGTATTGCCTCAATTAACTCGGTAGCTTCTTTGCCAATCCTCTGGTTGGTAGACCTAACCTTTGGTGAGAGTGGGGCATTAAAGTCTCCTAGTATTATCAGATTGGGATCTATTTTATTCTGTAAGTTTGAGAGTATTTGCCTAACATATTTGGGTGCACTAATGTTTGGGGAATGTAAGTTGATGGTAGTAATATTCTCCTCTTGGATTGTTCCCTGTATTAGTATGTTGTGTCCGTCCTTGTCTTTGTGCATTGAATTCAATGAAAAGTTCATTTTGTCAGATATCAGGATTGCTACACCTGCTTTATTGCTACACCTGCTTTCTTACTGGGGGCATTTGATTGGTAGATCCTTTTCAACCCTTCACTCTGAGTTTGTTTGTATGTTTGGCTGAGAAGTGGGTCTCCTGAAGGCAACAGATGGATGGGTCATGTTTTCTGATCCAGTCTGCAGTTCTTTTTCTTTTGATTGGCGAATTAAGCCTGTTAATATTAAAAGACAGTATAAAGGGATGCATTGTGGTCCCTGTCATTCCTTGTTTTCCTAAGTTTTTCTTCTTTCCTTTCCTCCTGTGTTTGCTCAGTTAGACGTCTATTACTGCCTGTCTGGGTACAGGTCCCTGTTCCAGGTTGCTTTCTTCAGGTTGTGTGCCCCCTCTTAGTATTCTTTGTAATGCTGGCTTAATGTTTATGTATTCATTTAGTTTTTCTTTGCTATTAAAAATTTTCAGTTCTCCATCGAATGTGAATGCTATCTTTGCCGGGTACATCAGTCTGGGTTGGCAGTTGTTTGCTCTCAGGGCTCGTATGGTACTTTCCCAGGCCTTTCTTGCATTCAGTGTTTGTGTGGAGATCTGCAGTGATTCTAAATTTTTCCCGTTGTAGTATAGTTCCTTTTTCATTTTTGCTGCATGCAAGATTGTTTCCTTATTATTCAGATCTATCATTTTTACTATAATGTGTCTAGAAGTGTTTCTCCTGGGTTATTGCTTGTTAAGTTTTCTATATGCTTCTGTATTGTAGGTAAGATGTTCTTTTTTGAGATGGGGAAATTTTCACTGATTATCTTGTTGAATAGGTGTTGCATTCCCTTGCTTTGATATTCCTCACCTTCGTCCACTCCAATTATACGAAAGTTAAATTTCTTGGCACTATCTGCTTACTCTTGAATTTCCCTTCGGCATATTTTATGTGATTTTACCATATCTGTAAATTTTTGGTCCAGTTGGTATATTCTGTGTTCGGTATCTGACACTCTACATTTCATTTCATTCTCTCTGTTATCTGTGGCTTCCATTGTGGATTGCATGGAGGAAATGGACTCATTTATGGATTCAATATTGATTCTCAAAGTCCTAATCTCACCTTTTAATGAGGAGTGTACTGCCTCTATTTTGGCACTAATCTCACCTCGTAGTGAGGTGTGGTCTGCCTCTATTTTTGCTTACATCTCCTGTTTGATATCCTGCATCTCTTTCAATATTTCGACCCTGTGCTCTTTCAATTTCTGGTCTATTTCTCGCTTTATTTCTTGAGTCATTGCCCACAGCATCTCTTGGATATAGCTTTTGTCTTCCATTCCTGTTTGCTCCCACTGGAGCTCTCCCCTGGATGGCTGCTTGCTTTTGGAGATAGCTTGCTATCCTGGGTATTGATAAACCTTGTAATTTTTCTCTGTGATTTTGCAGGTGATTCAGGGATTATTGGAAACTAATCTGAAATTTTGTTTTGTTCAATAGGTGTTTGTCATTGCTTGGTTGCTGTTTCTGTGCTGGTAGAGAGAGTCTGTACCTGATTTCGGTTCTGTTGGGGGCCAACCTCCAGTTGTTGGTCTGAACCACATAGGGGTTCTCGGCTCTCTGCTGTAGATCACTGGCAGTTCCCGCCTTTAGAAGGTTGAACGGCCTAGACTGCTCCTGTTTGCTCCTACAGATGCTCTTGGCGAGATCGGATGTGCTGGATGCACTCTTCCAGATATTGGAGTCTGCTATGGGCTTCTGATTTTTTTTTTTTTTTGGCCGGTTGTGGGTTTGAACTCTGGGCCTGGGTGCTGTCCCTCAGCTCTTCAGGTCAAGGCTGGCACCCTACCATTTGAGCCACAGCACCATTTCTGGCCCTTTCTGCTTATGTGGTGCTGAGTAATCAGATCCACGGCCTCATGCACCCAAGACAAGCACTCTACTGCTGAGCCACCTTACCAGCCTAAGATCATGACTATTATCAGATGCTCGTGGCCTGTGTTGTCCAATTCCCAGCCTAAAATATATGGGTCAGGTTATGGTGCGGATTGGGCTTCTCTTGTCCTGACCCCTCGGGTCTTTTTCTGTCACAGGCGTGCTTCCCAAGGGGTGCAGTTCCCTGTTTTTCTCCCCTCTGCTGAGGCATATGCTCAGCTTCTGATTTCTGTTGGGAGGAATTGGTTGTGTTGCTCAGGCACTGGATTCCCAGGCCTGGTCCCAGCCCCTACCCTGAGGCAAGCCGGTTGGACCTGTGCTGTTGTGTATCCTGCCTAGGTTATTCAGCCTGGAATACACAGTTCAAATTTCTTCCACTGTTGGGTGTCTTGACACAATGGTGGTGTTCCTGGCTTGGGCATTTAAGGTCCCTTCCGGGGGCACTCTTGCTCTAGCCTGGCCAGCTGAGTGTGCTCCATGGGCTGATGGAGCTCTCGAAAAGTTCCCATTTTTAGTGGGTCCTGGGGTCCAGATGTTGGGATAGGGAGGCTGGGTCAGGTTCTGGGGATTCCCACCAGCTGTGGTCTCCCTTGAGGTATACACTGTCCCTTGTACGGTACTCACCCTGGAGCTAGTAACTGTTTCTGTGTGATGTAGGTCATTGGTTGTTGTTGCAATCAGAGTTCAGTTGAGGTGGTTGTGGGCTGGGATGGGCAGGGTCGCTCTGCATGTTTCTCTTCTGTCTCTGTCTCAGTTGATGCTTTCTGGTCTGCACCATAGGGTGGGCCTCCAGCATCTGCCCAAGAAGTAGGGGAGGGGCCTCCGTGCACTGAGCACTGGGGTTTATCTCTGCTTGTGCTCTCTGGATCAGCACTGGTTCCTTGCAGGTCTTCTGCTCTGGTGTTCTGTGGGCGTCCAGTGTAGCTCTGGGGTTCCCCGAGTCGTACAGACTGGCTTTGATGGGATGGAACCTCTCTGCTCAGATATACAGTGAGGGGTGGGGGTGGGATTTTTGTGCAAGCTCCTGGCTCAGAGGTTTCTCTGTTCATAGCGATCAGCAAGTCCAACATCGGTACCTCAGGTGGCTTCTGTGTGGGTGACCTGCAGACAAACCCTTGTGTCTCTAGGTCTCTGGCAGCCCCCACCGGGCTGGGGTGGCAGCGGCTTCACACACAGCAGTGTGGCCAGTAAAGATTTGGGGAGGGGTCTTCGCTTTTCTCTTGTCTGAAATTCTTCTTTTTCTCTCTTATTCTGTTTTTTTCCTCCTTGGGTTTTTCTCTGGGTGTTTGTCTTTTTGTTGTTGCCAGTCTCTTGGGGAGATTAAGCGATGGAACTTGAACTCTCTTTTTGGTTGGGGAGAGTTGTGGTGTTGCCCTACTGCCCAGTCGCAAACTTAGTCCCCCCTTTGGATTCAGTTCTAATAATTCAATATTTTAAAACTATGGATTGTTGGAGCATTATGTAAAGTCTAAACAATTACTGACACATATCTGCTTGTCCTCAGCCTACTCAATCTGCCTGCAGTGAGAGTTGTAGTCCTGGATTCAGGAAATCCCCTCAGGAAGAAAAGGCAGCCTGTTGCTTTGATTGCACACCGTGCTCAGAGAATGAGATTGCTAATGGGTCAGGTAAGTTCATGCCATAGTGAAAAATTCATTTTCTTTGCTGGTATCCCCAATCCATGCAAGCCAATGCAAAAGTTGTATATTATGATTACAGAATCAAATTCTTCCTTCCTTCACTTAATCATCTAATTGTGACACTGGTTGATTCTTCTTGAAAAAAAAACATCATGGACTCTGATTTATGCATAAGATTATTTTTTTCTGGTCTATTGTATATATGTTTATTCAAATACTCAGTAATGTAAGCTTAACTTCTATCATAGTAAGTGCAAATCTTTTTAAGCACTAGGGCCCCATCTTCTTCAAAATTACTTTCAGACTACAAAGAAAACACAGATCTTGTATATCTTTATTTCCTAGATCTTAGAACTGTTCTTGCAATGGAGAAAATACTCTGGGTTTGGTTTGGTGTAAGAAGCAGGCAAAAGTGTTGTGCATAGCATGACTTTATAGTTTCAAAGAGTGATTTCTCCATCCTCTATAGGTGAGTAGAAGAGACAAATATAACAACTTCAAGGAAGGGTCACAGTTGTCCAATTTATATTGTACAGCGAATATAGAGGAAGTTACAAAATTTTACTACCCACAATTTTGAATAAGAGGTTTGACTTGTGCACACATGTCTGAGAATTATGGCAGCATGAAGAGGCACAGAAAATTATTCATAGGATATTAGAAATGGCAAGAAACAATATTTGTGATTGTCATTACAAGCAAAAGAATTTCAATCAGACTAAAATATGAGAATATGGGAATGAGTGTGGGAACATGACGAAGACATAAAAATAATAGTGAACATGTCTGGTAATACTTGGTAATATTTACTTTATGCTACTAAGTATTCACATGTCAGTATTGTCTCTAGAGAGGGACTTTCTAATTTCCTTTTAAGTATTGGAAATGGATAAATGTTTATTTGAATTCTTCACTAGATATGGAGCAGTGTATGAGGTGTCCAGATCATCAGTATGCCAATACAGAGAGAAACCAGTGCCTCCCAAGAGCTGCAAGATTCTTGACTTATGAAGAACCCTTAGGGATGGCCTTGGCCTGCATGGCTCTTTCTTTATCTACACTCACAACAGGTGTTCTTGGGGTCTTTGTGAAACACAAGAACACTCCCATTGTCAAGGCTAATAATCAAGCTCTCAGCTACATCCTACTCATCTCCCTCATCTTCTGCTTCCTCTGTTCCTTGCTCTTCATTGGCCGTCCCAACACCAGCACCTGCATTCTACAACAGACCACATTTGGAGTTGTGTTCACTGTAGCTGTTTCTGCTGTCTTGGCCAAAACTGTAACTGTGGTTCTGGCCTTCAAGGTCACTTCTCCAGGGAGAAGGATGAGGTGGCTTATGCTATCAGGAGCTCCTAACTTCATCATCCCCATCTGCACCCTGATCCAGGTGACTCTCTGTGGAATCTGGCTGGGAACCTCTCCTCCCTTCATTGACACAGATGCACACTCTGAACATGGCCACCTCATCATCCTGTGTAACAAAGGCTCCCTCACTGCTTTCTACTGTGTCCTGGGATACCTGGGCTTCCTGGCTCTGGTCAGCTTCACTTTGGCTTTCCTGGCCAGGAACCTGCCTAATACGTTCAATGAGGCCAAGTTCCTGACCTTTAGCATGCTGTTGTTCTGCATTGTCTGGCTCACTTTTCTGCCTGTCTACCACAGTGCCAAGGGGGAGGTCATGGTGGCTGTAGAGATCTTCTCCATCTTGGTGTCTAGTGCAGGGCTACTGGGGTGTATCTTTGCCCCCAAGTGCTACATTATCTTGTTAAGACCAGATAGAAATTTTCTGCTTGGCTTCCGGGACAGAAGTCATGCCGGGAGAAATACACCCTCTTAAGGTGAAACTTACATGTTAGGTCAAATATATTCCTTTTTCCATCAGATATTAGTTTATATTGTTGTAATAACTTCGATGAATAAATGACTCTTACTCATTTTTCTAGCCAGAGCCAAGTAAATTTGAAATTTATTCTCTATGTGTTTTATTATCTCATCATGTCAACTACTATATTTTCTCTGCTGACATGTTTTCTAATATTGCTTTCTTAACCATTTGCCTAAAATTTCCTATTTGGTGCCAGTACTGGGGCTTGAACTTAAATTCTGGGTACTTTCTCTGATTTTGTTGTTTGTGTTTCTTTACTCAAAACTGTGGCATTTCCACTTAAGTCACAGCTCCACTGTTGGCTCTTTGGTGGTTAACGAGATAACATTTTCATGAACTTTCTTGCCCAGTTTGGCTTCATACTGTGATAATCACATCTTAGCTCTTAGAGTAGCTAGAATTATAGTATTTTCTAAATTTTAAAGAACATTAGCTTCTTGCCTACACATCACTATGCTGTTTAATCCTCAATGAAATCCATTAATATTGTTCTCATGATGAAGTTCCAGGCTTTTATATACTTGGTAGAGCATACTTTGTTTGATAATTGTGTATTTACACTCCTACGTGTGTTTTTTGCCAATATTCTTCAATATGTTTTGTTTCGGTTTTCTTTCCTTCTCTCTCTTACTTTTATTTTTCTTCATGTGCCTTGAAGGTCACATTTTCCACATGTATTTAATACCGACCTGCCCCACCATGACTGCCTTACCACGTCCAATGGAGCCAGGCACAGCCGGGACCTCCACCACAGGGGTATCATAGCATCTCCCCATGGTGGTGTGCGACACGCTAAACGCCGTCACCACTTCCCAGGGGAAAAAGCACACGTGGAGTGACCCAGGCCGTGTGGATAGGGACAGGCATGAGGGAGCACACACACAGCCACTGGTGCTTGGAGGAAAAGAGGGGAAGCAGCGACGCCCTGGGAGTGAGTCAAGGACAGAGCTCAGCAGACTGTGCAAGAGTGAGAGGCCCTCTTCAGGGACCTAAGTGTGCAACTGAAGCATTCAGGTCAAGCATCTGCCCAACGGCTGGTTATTTTGCATACGTGTGTGTGTGTGTGTGTGTGTGTGTGTGTGTGTGTGTGTGTGTGTGTGCCTGTGAGTGTGTGTGTGAATAACCAGCTTGGTTTTCGCCAGCATAAGCCATACCTGTAAAAGCTAGAGACAGAATCACTGAGTAAAACCTTCTTAAGAACAATTACACATCTGAGAAAGATGAGATTTAGCAAAAATTAAGCAGTCAAATTTGGAGTTGGAGAGAGTGACAACTACAGGAATGATCTTACAAGTGAAGCAATTAAGATAGCCAACAGTGTGCTGTCATATTACTGTGGACAAGAAGAAGAACTGATGATTTATGTTACCCTTAAGTTACGGGGTGAGTTGCCATAACATCATGCCACCACGGGTAAGGTGCAGGTGCGGAGATGTGGCCGGCTTCCGGCTGTACCTTCCTGAACTTCACCACTACAAAATCTCAGCCAAAAAGTACCAGACAGAACCTTGCGACACTCAAAGAACACGCTCGTGGGTTTAGTGCTGGAGAAGATCTAAGGAATGAGTCGAGGCTGTGTCCCAAACATCTACCAGGCCACCTGCAATGCCTTGACCCGGCCAATCCATGAGTGCGTGCTAGCCATCGCCATCTAGTCAGGCAGAAGCTGTGACCCAGGGCGCATAGGTGGGCTCTCGGTTCCTGTGGTCAGCTTCCTCTTCTCCGACTCCTTATTCTGCTCCTGCTTCTTCCTCTTGCCCCACCTTGACCTCTGTATTGGCAAGGACTTGTCCTACCATATTCTTCAATTTCTACTCTTCTTGGCCATTCTACTCTTCTTCTACTCTTCTTGGTAGCTCCTTCCCTGCCGTTAACTGTGTTAGTGGACATTGGTGTGGACTTGGAGCTGCCCATCCCACCATGGCCAAATGACACGGAGGAGACGGGGGCGAGGGAGAGGCCTCCATGACCCACTGACCCAGGTGAAGGAAACCGGGAAGGCAGAGTAACACAAGCCTTCACCCTGCTTCCCACTTCCTCCAAGACCCATTTGGTCCCCAAAAGTTCAGCAAATGGGTCTTCAAAAAGGTCTAATGAAAATGGGTCCCTTCCACCAAAACATCCCTGAAGCCAGCATCTGGGTTCCAGAATGCACAACTCGGTCAGAATGACTTCCTCTTCCTCCTCCTCCATGCAGCCACTTTTGGCATTCTGGATCCTAGATGACCATCTTTGAGCTTCTACCATCACTTCCTGTTTGAGTTTTCTATCTGCTGCTTATTGGTTCTCAGGGTTTTTGCCAAATGCGCTTCACTGCTGTTTTGGGGCATGTTTCTTCTCCTCGCATTGGAGGTGTCTTCTGAAGGCCTCACTTCACGGCCATCCACCGTGTGTCAGCAGACTGGGGGCTGCAGGTGGCCACCGTCTGCCCAGGTGGCTGTGGTGGTGGCCGGTCCCCAGCCTTTCCTTTGTCTCCCTCTCTCTAAGGTCGTAGAATTTCAACAATGTAGTGCATATTCTACAAAAACACACTTCAACTGTATATCAAAATAATTGGATTTAGGAATAATAGCTGAGGGAAGTGTAGATTCCTAATAGTTTGCTTATCCATGGCGGGATATACTGTTCAACTTATTCTTGTTTAATCACTTAAAATATTAAACATACAGGATGTATACACATTTTGTCATTTTATATCATCAATTGATGTTGTTATATCTCTTGATAACAAAAATGTTATATTTCCAACACTTTATTTTTAGAAGAAATGCATTATACATTATTTTTAACAGACTGAATTATTTGGTTCTATACATCTTTAAGGAACACAAGACTATTTAAGACATGGTTGCATAATGGCAGTCTTTCAAGCTCTTTTCTATTGCTCATTTAACCTTTAGAAGTTTGTATTTCTAATAGGCAAGTGATTATATACTGACAATGGACTTCTATTTAATTTTAAGTTGGAAATATGATAATGTATTGGCTAAAATTGTATGTTCCTTTATACAGGGATACTATTTAGCAAATATTTATAAATTGTTAATGTTTTATCAAGAGATGGTAAAATATTCCCATTTCTATTGCAGTTCATATTATATTTTTTTTTCTTGATTTGAATGATTTCATCAATGTGGTTGGATTACTGTTGCTGTCTAAAGCACTGCTTACCCATTAGGTAGCAATCAATTAACAATCATCACAACATACAAGTTCCTCAATATCAACTATGAAGAAGTGAGAGTGCCTGGTAGCCATCAGCAAGTTATTAACTCCGTGTAAGGAAAAAGAGACAAGAGACAGTCCTTAAGACATCCTGTCAATGTTGTGCAACCATCATCATCTTGGTTAAGTTCTGGCTTTAACATTAGTGATCATAAGGCATTAAAAATCAAGAGAACATTCAAATGCTTACAACTCAATTAAATAATAGGTCATGAGATGAGCAGGCCACTCAAACTGGTAGCAAGTTTCCCACATGTATTTTATGCATGTCTATAGTGAGTATTCACTGACAAAGGCAGAGATATGAGTGGTCTGAGGCCACTCACAGTTCCATAGGATGATGTCCCTGGATTTTGATCACCTTAATTTCATGTGAGTCACAAAAAAGAGTGACGCTGCATTACAATCATGATTAAATGAAGTCACACACTTTTACATTACAGTTCTTGCTGGAGGGTACAGAAGACCAGATTCTCAAACACACAAGAAAAAGCAAAGGAGGTTAAAATCAACAACTCTTTTAGAGACAGAATATTAAGATCAAATGCAATACATAGTATACATATTGGTGATAAAAACAAGACTCAGCCTGGTGCTGGTGGCTCATGTCTGTTAGCCCTAGTTACTCAGGAGGTTGAGATCTGAGTTCAAAGCCAGTTTGGGCAGGAAAAGCCTATGACACCTTTATGTCCAACTAACCTCCATCTACCCAAAAATAAAGCCAGAAGTGGGACTGTGGTTCAAATGGTAGAATGCTAACCTTGAGAACAAAAGCTGACAGCACTCAGGCTCTTGTTCCAATCCTTAAGACCTACACACACACTCACACACACACACACACACACACACACACACACACACACACACACACACACACACAAATCAACTTACAAAAGAACAGGTACATATGAAGTCCATCACCAGGCATCTGTTTGGGAAGCCTAATCTTTCACTTATTTGTCCAAAATTGAATTAATGTGATAATCGTTGGATCTCATTGGCCTTCAAGTTCCCAGACCTGCTATTGCTAGGTATTCTCTCTTTTCTTTTCTTGACTAAAAAAATGTCCACACAAGGATGCTTGCTGATGAAAATCAAACAAAATCCTTTGAAAGACGAAATTTAAATAGCCAAGTAAAAGTAATTTACCCATCACATTTATAATCTGGAAGTAAATAATACATTCTGACAGACTTCTATTTATTTAAGTATCGTGACAAAAAATCTGCTTATGTTTAACAATTGCAAAAATGTAGTGTCACCTCTTCTGCCTCAATTCTTCTCCCTTTAGATTGAAAGAAACATGTGAAGTGTACCTCCTTGCTCCAATGTGATAGCCTACCCTTCTAAACATAGAACTGAAACTAAAACACTGACTTCTTAGAAGAGAGACATGAAAAGGCTGTTTAAAATACAAAGAGCTTTTGTAGGAAATAGGTTAAAATACAGTATTACTACGTTGCACTCATTAGTCTAACAATTTTAGTTATGGTTAACTTTTAATAAAGACTTTACTGAGAATATTTTATCCAGAGCCACTGATTCCTTGGGATGAAAAAAAGATTTTCACATTTAAATAGGAAAAAATTGAGTTTATGGCCTAAGATTAGATACTTAGTTTACACTGATTTCAAACATAGGACTTTAAATCTTATGTTTTCTGAGATATTGCAACACATAGTCTTAAACAGTCGTTTGTTTAAATTTTAAAAGTTTTATACTGAAAA